GTTAAACAGATGACTTGCATTATCAACAACTCCTTTAACATGACTTAGATTATTTGCTGCAAGTTCTTTTTCAAGATGCTCTGCCATACACCTTATAGAAGCCACTTTTAGTTCACAATTATAGCGTATTTCCTGATTATGAGCATCATCATCATCATCTGTTTTAGCATACTTATATTTTGAGGTATTGGGTTGTGAATTTGAAGGTTGAAAAGCACCTATATTACTAAATATGTTTTGCAAATTTTCAACATTCAAGACAAGAAAAGGATAATCTTCTTGATGTTTAAAATTATTATACAATAGACAAATTCCTTGTAGATCAATCAATTTTGCCTTTTCTGTCACCTGGTGAACCAAATACTTACAGATAAGGAAATAACTATATAGGAATGATAAGCAACTACATATCCAATGATCTAAGTTAATATAATAGCACTCTTCACTTCTATCAGGGACTTGCTTTGCAATAAGACTTTTTCAATCATGTTTGAACTCATCAAACCAGGAAGGTGCAGTTCGCCGAAAGTGCATTTGATTGAACTGAGTAGTCTGATCAGGGATAATATGTATACAAATTACCCATACAAGATAATCTAATCTTGGTTGATTAAATCTGTAAAGGTAACAATATTTAATTACTCTCCAATGTGATTCAACAACCATATTTGTTTTACTGATTGGAATCATTATTTGTGCTGATTGGGCCCAAAGTATCTATCTTGTAACTTTATACCAGGAAGACCACATGTATGCCTAGAGTAATTTAAGGTTGTTTTCAAAACAAAAATCATAAATTTCGTGAACTGTATAATTTAGGATTTTTTCAGCAGTAAAGAAATTTCCAACAGCATCGATAGGAATTTTTGGATGCATGTTAAAGTGTTTTCTAACAAGATAGATAACCTTATTTTGCAAGTTTAGTGGGCATAATATGTAGTATTCAGGCTCAGTACATTCCAGATTTGGCTTGAAACTGGGGTTAATAAAATCAAATTCTGCTACAGCTTCATCTGGTTGGTATTGGCTACGATAGATATGCTTGCAACTTTTGAGTTTCTCTTTAATAGCCCTCTCAACATGCTATTGACAGAGTTGAATATAAGTATTTGGCCATGCTTCTCTTGCTGCATTTATTTCTGCAAAATCTTTATTAACATAGAAGTATTGTAGCTGCAATCCTTTATTACAAAAAGAATGAAAGAAGTCAGCAAGTGTCTTTGTCTGTAATCTTTTTTGCTCTTCATTATTGGATGCTTTTGTAATATTCAAGATTAGATATACAACCGAAAATCCTGCGCTCTCAATGTTTTCAATAATTCTATAAAGTTCAAACTGACCTTTAGCTGTTCTAT